AGGCCAGCAAGGCTCATCCTTGTGAGTGGCAGCATTCAAGCTTACACATTCTATTCTGGGTACTACAGATTCCATAGCAATTTGAATGTGTACCTGGACCCCTCACCAAGATCCTGCAAATCGTAAGTCATTGGCATTCAAGTCCAAGTCAAGTCGTAAGTCTTTGTGGATTTTATCAAGTCAAGTCAGAAGTCATTAATATAATGACTCGAGTCTGACTCAAGTCCAAGTCATGTGACTCGAGTCCACACCTCTGATAACCAGCATCTTTTTCTAGACCAGATTTCTCAGTCATTTGCATGAGATTTGCATTAGTGTGTAGTGCAAACAAAAAAAATTTGTTGATTTCTCTTTTGAATATTTAAATAAGACAGGTTAAAAGGAGCAGCAGAAAATGGCATTGGTGCCTTTCACCACAACCATAAAATCCTTCCAGCAGGTCCATTTGAACAAGGCCCTGAACCCAAAGCCACTACACCAATGCCAAGTGCGCTGACCTGAGTTTAATCAGTTCAGTGTTTCACAGAAAGGACTCTGCATGGTTTTGTCATAAACTTTGTGATTCAAATGACAGATTTAAGAAAAGGCGAAGGACATGAGGCATGAAAAGTCATGACATACAGTGCTCTTGAATATCAGTTGTTCTTCTTTGGATAGATCCAAAATGGACTGATCACATAGTCTCCAATGTGAGGAGGGATTCATCTTCATCCTTTGGGGAGCATTTTAAACACGCAGGAAGCATGGTGTAGAGAAAGAAACATCTGGGATATTTAACAAGGCTCTCAAGGCTCATGGCATGCAGATTTAAACATTCTCCAGTTGCACAATACCCTAATGGTGTCTGTTCAGATCACACAATATCAGATGGTCACTGAGTAAGTGAAGGGATGGTTTGCCATGTGTTTTAAGGATGGGATATTTAATTGCATTGGGATATTCCTCCGTTTGCTGCTGTGAAGTCTGACATCACATGGTCCTGCCACCATCTAGTGGGAAATTTCAGTACTGCAGGAAGATGACTTCAGGTCCAAGCTGTATTATCACCTCCATTGGGTCAGTAGACCCTGTCTGAGTCTGTTTAGGCTTGTTCAATGTGTGAAACACACGGTCGGATCAGTATTTAAAGAGAAAATAGTTCCAAGTGGAAGGCAGATAAGTGACATTTTTGAAACAGAGAAGAGAAGGAGGTTGTTATTTTTCCTCTCTTTTCAATAACAAACCAGCCATCCAGCCGAGGAGCAACAGGGATGGAGGCGTGCAGCTCTCAGCTGGGTGCTGCTAAAGTTGGATGAATGACAGGAGGTGAGTGACTGACAGACACTCCAAAGACCTTCATGTGCCTATCAACAGTTTGAATTCAGCTCCACACCAGTTCTACAATTCAGTCTTTCATCATACTTCCCTACTCATAGCTGGGACTGTTCAGAAAATGGCCAAAATGCAATTAGATCCTCATCAGGAAAAGGCAGTAGAAAAACATGTCTGATATGTGCACTGAGCTCACCGGGTGGAAAGGTTCCACATTCATGTTATCTCCATCTGGGTCTGAAGAGGAAGGACACAGAGGTCAACAACCATCACATCAACACCAAAGGACACCTTCACGACGTCTCACTCTGTAAAACCACTTGTTTTATCCAGGATCAGGTGACAAGAAGGCCAGCTACCAATTTATTTTATTGGACCACCATGAACAACGAGCGCATCTTTAAATGACCTCCATCAAACATTTGCCCTATCACACCTGCTCTGGTTACTGATCAAAGGACACTTTTAGATCCAGCATCTCCAGAGTCTGCTGCTCAGCTTTAGTCTGGTGATTCAAAGAGAAAATGTCCTGATCGATGTGACAGAAAGTCTGTTTCACATCCGATGCCTGCTTACAAAGTATCCAAACTTCAAGGATTTTTTTGACTCTTTAAATTTATATTTCTCTATTTTCTCAACTGAATTTTGAAATATGCAACTTTTTCACACTGCATCCAAGTTGTGCTACAGAAAAATCTGATATATTGTTTATTTTCATACATTAAACACTAATAGTAGTTTGCAGGTAAACATAGATTTTTCACTAAGCAGTGACAAATACAATTGCACGTTTGTTCTAACTTTTAGAGTTTTAAATCTGAGGATAAAATGTCCTTGTATATTTAACTGAGCATTTTTTTAAGTATCAGCAGATATACGTATTATAATTTCTTCTTCTCAGTGCATGACCTGGTGAGAAGTGAAGATACCTAGGACTTATGAAAAGACCAATACCAGGGGTGTCCAACCATGGTCCTTGGGGGCCACTATCCAGCATGGTTTAAAAGGTTGAATTGTCTGTTCGGCAGGTCGTTAAGATCTGCAGAAGCAAGTTAATTACCTACTCATTGAAGTCAGACATTCTTACACAGAGAAACTTCTAAAATCTAGAGGAGTGCTGACAATAATTTAAAGAACAAACAAATAAATGACTAAACCGAGTCTAAACCAAAAAACTTTTGCACAAAAAATTAAGTCTTGGCTAAAAGAATGTGGTCAAACTTGCAAAAGTGCTTTAGGTATGCACAACCGTGGGTAGACAACAAGACACGGGTGGATAACAGAAGTGCAACAAAAAGAAAAAAGAAGCGCATCAGTGCTTGTAACATACCACCCACCTCTGGTCAAAGTCTTTTTCATCCAGGTTTGGATGCTCTTTGGCCAGGACATTCCTTTCTCCAACCTGCATTTTGTGAAAATATTCTGGAAACTTTTATTAAAGTTGTGTATTTTATCTAGAGTAATTACACACACCTCAACCATTTCTACTGTAACCGTCTCAGTTGGATACTTACTATTACTTTTAGAAGAAACCTACTTGGCCTGTATGTGTACAGCACCTTCTTAGGGTTCTACAACCCCCCCCCCCCCCCCCCCCAAAAAAAAGGACTTTACAACACAATCAGTAATTCACCCCTTCACAAACTAGTGATGATGAGCTACAATACAGCCACAGCTGCCCTGACAGAGGCGAGGGCTGCCATACACCGGTGCCACCAGTCCCTCTGACCACCAGCAGACAAGGAGGGTTAAGTGTCTTGCACGGGTGGGAACATACAGGGTCAGCAGGTCCGTCAGATAGGATGGGGATGGGCAGTACAAAGCCTTGTAAACATATAACAAGACCTTGAAGTTAATCCTAAATTTGACTGGGAGCCAGTGTAAATCTGCGAGGATGGGTGTGATGTGCATGCGTCTGTCGGTGTTGGTTAAAAATCTGGCCGCGGCATTTTGAACCTTCTGCAGTTTACTTAAGGCTGAAGCATTAATCCCAATCAGGACAGAATTTGCATAATCCAGACGTGAAGTAATAAAAGCATGAATGACTGACTCAAGATCTGGGCGTTTGAGGATTGACTTAAGATGAGTGATGTGGCAGCGTTGGAAAAAGCAGGACTTGACAGTAGCATTGACTTGTGAAGACACTGAAAGGTCAGAGTCCAGTTTCATCAGTGGTCAGGGGATTTAAGGAGCGGCTTGACAACTCACCAGTGCCGGATGATACTCAGTCTTGGGTAGTTCTAGCCGTTACCAGTCCTAGCTCTTGGTATCTCAGAATACATTTTTGTCTTTTTGTATCCTGACTCCACGTTTATCTGATCTGTTCTCCTGACCCATCCAGATTTCCCTCACCTGCAAAGAATATCAAACTTCAATAACTTTGGATTCACTCAAGTCTTCAGCCATGTCGTTCACCTCTGACTACCAGCTGTCCACCGCCCACCTGCTCACCTGAACACACCTGCAGCCAACTCCCTGTGCTCAGCTCCCAGCCTTGGTCTCTCGATCTCCCCCTCAGCCAGACCTGACCTGCCTCCCTCCTTGGCTTCCCAACTTCCTGAAGACCATAAGTCTCCTCTCCCCTTTTGATTTTCCTCTGCATCATTATCCAAAGACTAAAATCCATTCTCTCTCCAGAACACCCCGAAACTCCTCTACCCCCTCGATCTCCGTTTTTTCTCTCCTCCACAAAGACTTTAATAATATACATAGAAACTTTTCCTTACCTCTGGTTCTGTGGTGATTCTTCATGTCGTGGGTCAAAAAACTGCCCTCTAACATGACATAAAATTTATTTTTAATTATATACTTGACTCTGTCTGCATTAATACGAAGTGTGTTAATGGTCACTGAATAAGCAAAGAATCCTAAATTCTTCTGGGAGATCAATCAGGTTGATATTCTATATTTATATAGAATCATCACATCTTATGGGTCATAATTTAACACCCCAATCTCACTACACTACAACACTGCAGGTGTTGACCAGAAGCAGCAACCTGGTCATGCAGCCCTCACGGCTTTTTCCACACACTCTGTTTATTAAAGCTAGACTTAAACATAAAACAGGATTCTATTAACAATGTCGGTCATAGTGTCTTAATTTGCAGGACGTGTGAAAAGTAAACAAGCATTCAAGCTAGCTTGGTTAGCTTTGAGGTTTCCAGTAAAGCACGTCGTCAAATCAAACTCAAAATCAAACTTGATTCATATAGCACAATTTATACAATAAATGCAACTCTAAGTGCTTCACAAATGAAAATGACCCCGCATTCCCTCCCTCCCCACAAATATAAAAGCAATATGACAAGAATACTCTCCCATAACATTCATCTTCTGACACACACACACACTTACGGACATAAGGTTAAAAAAATGGAACACGTTGGGCTGAGTTCAGATGAGCCAGACAACGCCATCAGGGGAGCCATCTGCCCGACAGCAGCAGAGACATGGAGCACAGTTTACAACTCTGAACTATGCTGAGTAACTTTATTTGAAGGATGTATTTTATCAGGAGCAATATTTAGTCTGGAGCAGTACCTATTGAACCTGCTACTTTGTTAGGTTAGTGGAAATTCAATATATACAATAATGAAAGCCCTTGACACCGAGCCCATGATATAAAAGTAAATTATTAAAAGATATTTACACGCAAAAAGATGAAAAATTCACATTAGAGAGCATAATTTTGAATTTTCATTATTTTATTGACACACATACAATATTAAGTAAGACATTATTTGCATAAAAATAATTGTTGAGTTTCCAAATTAATTTAAAAAATAAAACAAAATGTTGCAAAGAACTCAATGACTGGACCTCCTTCTTCCTAGGACTTGGTGTTGGTGGTGCAGTCAGTAAGCCTTTGGCGTTGGACTAAACTGGATTAGCGCCCTTCATCAGATATTTTACAAAAGAATCACAGAAAACAACAAACTGGTTAATATGGATATGAAGAAAATCACTAGTTTGTAGAAGAAACAGTAGCTTTCTGTGAAGTATAATAAACCTGTTCCACCATATGGCGAGGAACATACATATTCAAACACCCAGCAATTTTGCAAGTTCTAACTAAGAAATTTTTAGGGGGTCTTAAACTCACATTAGGTGTTTTCCTATTGTAAGAGAAAGCATTTAAAATAATCAGGAAATCCCATTGTATGACCGCAGGGTGTTCAAATACTGATGTTCATCACTATAACAGTCCATGTCCAGACACCTCTCACTCAGGGGAGCAGAAGCGTCCGGCAAACAGAACACTCATGGTGGGGTTATGGCGGATGAAGAAAAGGAAAGGATGGTCTGCTCTGAACATTTGTCTACGACAAACAAACATTTTAGAGATGCTAGTGGCAGCAGCAGCTTCAGTTCCCTCCTCATTTACTTCCACAAAGGCCTTGTGGGAGACTTTGGACAGAAAGAGCTCTTTGTTGCTCGACATACCTACAAAAAGAAATATATATGGTAAATGGCCTGTATTTGATATAGTGCCTTCTAGAGTTCTGGAAACCCCCAAGGTGCTTAACAACACAATCAGTCATTCACCCATTAACACACATTCACACACTGGTGGGTATGAGCTACAATGTAGCCACAGCTGCCCTGGGGCACACTGACAGAGACGAGGCTGCCGAGCACTGGTGCCACCGGTCCCTCAGACCACCACCAGCAGGCGAGGTGGGGTAAGTGTCTTGCCCAAGGACACAACGACATCAACAAACTGAGCGGGTCTCGAACCTGCAACAGGGTGAGCACTTAACTCCTGTGCCACCGTCGCACTTTATATATTATAATGATAATAAATAATAATAATAATAATAATAACAATAATAATAATAATAATAATTTGTATTTAATTATTAAAACTGTGGTGACTAGGTGCCCCTGATCGTGCACACATATTTTAAAATTGACAGGTTTACTTTTCGGGTTAAATAATGATTGACATAAACGATTTTATGATTTTGATCGGACAAAGTCACAGTATAAATAAGGTTTTGAGGCAAGTCAGTCACATGAACGGGTTTCATATAATCACAATTTTTACTCAGAGACTCTTATAAGTGCAGTGGGGCAAAACATTTTTGGCAGCCACCGATTGTGCAAGTTGTCCCACCTGAAAAAATGAAAGATCTGTAATTTTCAGGATACACTACAGTTGTCCAGGAAATCCCAATGTTTTATTTTTCTAGAATTTATTTGCATAATGGTGAAGAAATGATGCAATTGGTCATTAACTGCCATTGACAACTAAAGTCGTCATTTGCATCTTTTTACCGTGTGGGCATCGGAACATGCCCCCGCTCTGTGAGAACAAACATCCCAGCTCTAAGGTCGATCTTCATCTGCACACGTCACGTGACTAGGAAGCAGAAAATCTTTGTGTTAGGAGATCGTTTTGGGCCGCTGCTGTAAAAAAAAGTGAAGCGCAAACCGGTAAACCTTCTGCCGATCCCAATTCAACAACGGTTGATGAAAGAACGGATAACGCTCAAAACAAGCAGATTGTTCCTGACGTAAGAGGTGAGTCTCCTCTTTGTTTTGTTAGTTTTAGCGTTGACATCATCACAGAGCGCAACGTTTTGTGACTCTTAAAAAAACAGCTGAAAAACGCTGGCAGCGAAGGGCTTATCTGATCAAGAAACGGCTGGCAGTGAATGAGTTAACAAAAATCCACCTCAATACTTTGTAATGTAACCATGGTTGGACCACACTGTAGCTGGTATTTTGGCCCATTCTTCCATGCTGATCCATTCTAGAACTGTGATGTTTTGGTGCTGTCACTGGACAACATGGACCTTCAGCTCCTTACCCAGATTCTCTATTGGATTGAGGTCTGGAGACTGGCTAGTTCACTCCAGAACCTTGAAACCTTTGTTTACAAAGCCACTGCTTTGAGGATGATTATCATGCTGGAAGACATTGGCTGTGTCTCAATTCAGGGTCTGCATCCTACGTCGGCCGGATTCGTCGGCCGGTTACGTCACAGCGCCGCGACTCGGCCTGTCCCAATTCGAAGACTCCTTCAAATGCGGTCGACGAATGCGGCCTTCTTTTCGCCTGAATGAAGGATGGGTCCGGTGTATCCTTCAATAGTTAGCATTTCCCAAGATGCCTTGCGGGCCGGCCGGCAGAAAAACTTAAAAACAATGGCGGACAGTGAAGCGGGAGCTGTCGGAGAGGATTGCGCATATAAATGTCAGTATAAACTTGAAAACTGTTAGGTTAAGGACTTTTTGTGATACATGAACGTTATTTTAGTTAGAAATGTAACAGTAAAAGTGCTTGTATTGCGGTCTCGGCTCGTATGTTCGGCCGCGCTCGGTGTCGTACTTCTCCCGCTACGTTTCCCCCTGATTTTAATAGAAGTTTGTATTTTAGGAACAAAAGAGAAAACCAGGGAATTTATTAAGCTTAGGGCGGAGATGGACCACATCATCACTGGAGCCAAGTATTCGGCGGCTGTGGCATGGAGGTACAATAACATCTCATAATTTAAAAACTCGTTTGAGTTTATTTTTTCTGCGAAAACATGAAAGGAATAACCCGTTGTCCTCTTTTCTCTTCCTGTTTCTTTTCTTACATGTTTGTTAAGACTATTCTGGAGAAAATGGGCATCCAGGGGAAGGTGCCAGCGATGACAAGCTTCTGGAGCTGATCTGGGAGGACATGAGGCTGCAGAGGGCACAGGAGAGAAGGAAGAACTTTGACAGCTTTTTACTTTGCTAGAAAAAAATGGTTAAGGAAGATTAAACATGTACATATAAATGAAATATCTAAATAAAATCAGTTCTGCATTAAACTCTTGAATTTTATTTTTGTTTACAAAGGAGAATTGTTTACTAGAGGGTATCCGCTGGGTCTTGAAAAGTCTTAAAAGGTGATAAATCGGTTGTGGTCAAATGAAGACCCTTAGAAAATATTAAAAACTATTATCACATCTTTGCTCAGGCTCAGCTTGTCTAAAGTATTTTCTCTGAATTAGCTCTCCAATAGTCAAGGAAATGATTAACCCCCAGAGACCCACGGTTGTAATATTACAACATCAGATTTAAGTCTACAAAAATAAACCTTCCCCCTTTTTTTCTTTTTAAAACCACATTTACATTGCTAATAGGTCCTATTCAGTTCTGCAACACTATTGGCTGTTAAAATGTGTAAATAGGCCCGTTTATCTGGACTAGAACAACACGTGAAAGGTTAAAAAAAAGATTTTGCAGTTGTTTTCTAAATTTGGGTTTCTGGGGGTTAAAAAGCTAAATAAAACGTCGAGCTCCATCGTTTAAAGTTCCTTCTCCCTTCTGCCCAGCGGTTCCACGGTTGCTAGGCGACAGAACGTTCGCCGAGGGAGTTCATGAAGGCTAGGCCTGTCCAAATTCACAGCCGTTAACATCCGGTCTATCCGGCCGACGGAGGACGCAGCCCACGTCGGCTGGGTGGGCTGGGTCCTTCGAAGGATGCAGACCCTGAATTGAGACACAGCCAGCATGTCTCACAGTTGAGATCAAGGGCGTCAGTTTGTTTTCAAAATTGCTGGGGACCATTACCATACACTTGAGTGGGGTTTAAAAATTGCTGGGGACAATAAAGTAGGCTAGCACAGGGGTCGGCGGCTCTGGAGCCGCATGCGGCTCTTCCATCCATCTGATGCGGCTCTCTGTGCTTGTAAAATAATGAATGGATATTTAAATAAAAAGCTTTATATTTTACTGCATTAATTTTACATCTGTATGCCAATTCTAAATGTAAAGATTGTCTGCGTAAACCTGAACAGGTCCAACCCGGTCTTACTGTGAGACCAGGTTGACGCGTAACGCTTGTGCGTAATCATATGCGCTTCCTGAGCTGAAGGATGTGAGATTCTGGGCTTCTCCTCAGACAGGCTCCTGGATGCGTCGCCACATTGGAGACAGGAACAAGCACTATTCAGCCAAAGTTTCATAATCAGGTTTGGCGGTGTGAGTGTCCTGTCACAGTGTCCCGATAGATAATGCGCCCTGGCTACTTGGCCAAGGGGTTGTCCCTTTGGCTGACTGGTTAGAGCGTATGACTCTCACCCGGGAGTCTGGGGATCGAATCGCGCCCGGGCCCTCATTTCATTTGACTGTTTATTTTGATGGATAAACTCAAGGATGTTGCTTGGTTTGAAAGAATTACCCCGACGCACACTGATGCGCATGGATGAGCTGACATTTTAATCGTTAACGCACATCGTGGAGGTAAAATATTCCCATCAGAACATCAGAGCTTTATACTGGACACTGTGTTCAGCGCGGCTCGGAGCGCCCACGGTGGACAGTGAGCTGAAGATCTGGGGTTCGCAGCGCAGCACAGAACCGGCGCATGCGATAAGATTTCCTCCCACTGAAACAGTCTGGAAACCCGGTCTCTCTGAGGGATGTGTCACTTGGAAAAATGTTCTTTTTATGAAATTATGAAACTTTGGCTGAACAGCGCTTTTTCCCGTCTCTAATATGGACGCGCATTACGCATCCAGTCTGAGGCAGAATAGCAGCGCAGAAAGCACCTGTAGAGACATTTGATTACGCACAAAGTTTATGTGGAGCAGAAGCGGTCGGGCCACGGCAGGTGAAATGTTCCTAGCCTACATGAAGTGAAACTGTTTAATTGTAACAATAATATGTTACTGGACACACTGGTCTGGTTGGTTAGACCAGTATTTGAAGTGGAAAACACACACACACACACACACACACACACATACACACACACACACACGCACACACGCACACACACACACACACACACACACACCAATTAAAATAATGCTGATAGCGTGGACTAGAAGCCAGGTGATGGTTTACGTATTTAAATGATGATCAGGCTGCTGTAAAATGTAATCTCCATCCACATCCAGACACAATTATCCTCTATTCTGTCTCTAGTTGCTCTGCTCTTGTCTGGGCTGATCAGCTGATGGTGCGCGCGGCGCGCCTAACTAGCGGCTGATGCACATTTTACGCATTTGGAGAGATGGGCTGGATGCTTTGCCTTTACTGGAAGATGGTCCACTTAACGCCCGGGTGTAGACTACATGTTAATGACAAATAATTGAAAATTAAATTGTGAGTTTTTACTTCATATTTTATAAATAAAAAGGACGGGGGAACACATTTATGACATCTTTTTAAACTAAATTTTCTAGCGCGACCTGCCTAATTCACTTAAGTCACTGCTTATTAAGGTCCGTCCAAAATTACCGTGGGAAACAGGTAATAATGGCTCTTTGATGGGAACAGGTTGCCGACCCCTGGTATAAGATCTGAGCTGGTAAAACAAAAATCCTCATCAGCAGGCGTTTTTGAAAGTGGGAGGGACACAGCTGCCAATCACAAATTTTGCCGGGGACATGTCCCCGGCGTCCCCGGTTAAAATGACACCTATGGTTGAGATGTATCTACACCAAAACTACAGACCTCTCTCAACTTTTTAAGTGGGACAATTTGCACAATCAGTGAAAATACTTTTTGCCCCACTGCATGCGACAGGTTAACATGTCTCACCAGAGAAGTCACATTTTGACGCAGCAAAAGCATCCACCACACCCATGCAGGTCAGGACTTCATTCAGTTCGTACGTCTCCTCAAGTCTGAATCGAGGTAGGTTCATGTCAACTTTACATGTGTGCATCTTTCCTGGATGAGTCCACTCCATGAACTTCTCATAGGTCAAGTGCTTCTCCAGCTGCATGGATGAAAAATCATAGGATGCGTCCGTCCACGTAAATCCTATCAATCTATGTGAGAATGAGTCCTACCTGCTCCAGACCTGTTGTATCATCGTCTATCTTCTCAGGTAAAAGGATGAGCATGCTCAGTTCCTTCCCTTTGTAAGGCAACTCCAGGACCTGTTCAGATGAAGAATTCAAATATTTAAAACATATTAAACAGAATCCCTGTCAGTCTCCTTAGGAAGTATTTTTTATTAATATTTAGACTTTGTTACTTTATTACCTGACAGCTGACTTCAGGAATGAAGCCAAGAGGAAAGAAGGAGTACTGGGACATCATCTTTACTGGTTTTGTGATGCTCTGAAGACAGCAAGCACATCAAGTAGTCATGCATGACAGTGGGTCAGGAGGAAGAGCGGGTTCACCACTCATCAGAGGGTTGTCAGTGTGATCTCAGATGGTTCCCATTCTGTCTTTGTGTCTCTGGGAAAGTCTTCCCTGAACTCGTCTTTCCCAAAAAGAAGTGTAAAAAAAATCATCCTCACTTTTATGTCCCCTTCTTATGAAATACTAGCTTCATATGCAAATCTAGCTCCTGAATTCTGTTTAGTAAAACCTTTCAACAGTTTTCTCCTGACACCTCCATGTCTCATGCTTCCCTAGTATTTGGACTGTTGAGTTAAACATCTTAGAGTTATTACTTCTTTTGTCCTACCTCTAAAGCTTTATTGTGGATTTCATATTATGTATCATTTTATTTTGCTGGAGAGGAACTACGACTGTCTGGATCCTAAATCTCCAATCCTGCATTGTGCCTGAAATTTGCACCAGTTCTAACCTGCTCGAGGTGAATCGCAAGCTGGACAATGTCTTAGCTGCGTTACCGGTGTTAGCGCAGAGGATTGATAACATCTCGGAAAGGGTCACCGGACGGTGTGGAGATGTTTAATCACTGAATTGGCTTCACTGGAGGACTTGAATGATCAATACAGACTTAAGGCAGAGAGGAAAAATTATCTCTGTCTGACCCAAACAAAGTTCTGTTATCGAATCTGACGCCATAAGCAGCCTTGGAGTTGCATGCAAAACCCCCACGCTGGAAGGAATGCAGACAAATGCTGTGAATCTCTATCCACCCACCCCCCGCCTTCAGACTGTGGTCTCCACTGAGGTCATCAAGCTAAGGACTCACTGCTCTCTGTGCTTCCCCATGACCTCCCTCCCACCTGCGGAGCCAGCTGGTCGAGCGCCACACAGGCCGCCCCCGCTGAGGAAAGCAGGATCCCAGCCCCTCCCCCCTACCTACCGGGTCTCATGTTGTGAACTGTGCTGTTTGTTGCTTACATGTCGGGTGTTTTTTTTTTTGCATTGGAGCGCTACACCCTGCTGGTGTAACCCTGTTAATGCCTTTTTTCTCCCTCCCTGAACTTCCCTCATGTATTCCCTTACTCATCTACAAAGGAGTGCCATCATGGCTGCTCCCATGGTCTGCCTGTATCTGTCTTGTCTATATGTGTGTGTGTAACCTTGGTCAGGTTGTACTATGGAGTCAAGTTCCTACGCTCTGAAAAGAGCGCTGGCAATAAAATTCATTCTGATTCTGATGAGGTTCACAGCAGACAACAGGGTAAAGCAAACATGAATCAGCATTTTTATTTTCAGTGCTAAAACAAACCAGAAACCTGCACTTGTTTGACCACTTTACTCTACTCTATTAAAACATGTCCAATAGGGATATAAAAAAATATCGATTCGGCAATCTATCTTAATATTTTTTCCTGCAATATTATATCAATATGCAAAAGCAGTGTATAGAATTTTTGGAGGAATTTGCATGCAATCATTAGGGTATTTTCTTTTCTTTTGGTGCAATTCAAACACCGACCGCTAGTTGGCAGCAGTGTGCAACAGGTTTTGTTTCCACCTCATGTTAATCATGTTATGTATCAGTTTGGACTGTTTATTGAATTTTCCTACAATAATTTCAGTAAAAAAAATTAAAATCACTAATATCGTCTGGGTGAATGTATCGCAATATATTGTGATATATCGTATTGTGCTGATGCATCATTATATGTTGAAGGAATTGAGATAGTAAAAGAAATTAAGTTTTTAGGTGTTATGATAGATGAACATTTATTGTGGAAGTCTAACATAAATGCTATTATAATGCTATATCGAATTATTGCAGTACTAAATAAGACGAATGAGTTGTTGAACAAAAAAGCTTAGTATATTCTGTATAACTCGTTAATTCTTCCATATCTGACACATTGTATTGAAGTATGGGGAAGTACCTGCAAAATATTTACACATTTAATTGTTCTTTTACAGAAAAGAGCAGTGAGAGTTATTAGTGTAAGCGGATATAGGGATCCTACGGATCCAATGTTTTCACAACTAGACCTAAAGAAATTGGACTAATTAGTAGAATACAATTTATTGAGACTTATGTACACAGCACAGAAAGGAGTTCTACCAATAAATATTCAAAAGAGATTTGTAAAAAGATAAAGTAATAATAATTTAAAAGGAATTGATATTTAAAAAATTTAACAAGATTCCGAACAGCGATAATGGAAAGATGTATTTCCGTTAAAGGTGTCTGTTTATTGAATAGTCTTGACGGTGAAATAAAACTATCTAAATCATTTTCTGTATCTTAAAAAGGCGTCAAATGTATCTTGATGAAATAAAAAGACCTTAAGTAGGCTGATAGACTTGTTTGTGTTGGGGGTGGGGGGTAGGTGAACAACAGTCTTCGAGTTGAACAGCTAATGTCTGATGTGTTAAGGGGGCAGATATACGTTTTAGCTTCTTTCTGCTCCTTTTCATTTATGGATTATTTTTGAACATGAATTGTTTTAATGTAAATTTTGTTTGATTGCATGAAATGAAATAAAAATGGAAATGAAATTGAATGATACGTGTCGTATTACCAGAATTTCACCTAAACACATCCCTAATGTCCAAACGTAAGTTATTGGATGTGGCAACACTAAAAACCATGAAAATAACTGAATCTATGTCTGAGTTTTGCACAAAGATTGTGTCTGGCAGACTTTGAGGTTTTTCAGTTTTACCTTGTTGAGCCAAAATTGGCCATTATAAGTTGACATTTTCAGAAACGGTTCATCCCAGGTTCCTTTGAAGTAGATGGCGTTGACCAGTACCAGCCTGGTCATGTTGTTCAGCTCACCCTTAGCTATGATACCCTTGATTTTACCTGAGAACAATAGAAGAATCAATAACATCACAATACCACACTGCTGAAGCTGCAGGTTTCTTCATCATATGTGTGACTGATGGTTCATATGATGGTCTTAAGCCTAATTTATACTTCTCCGTCTGCGTAGGGACGGACGTTCGCAACGCCATTATCCGTCCTTGCGAGGCTGCTGGAAAGCCCTTGCAAGGACAGACGGAGTCAAGCTCTTTTCTAAACATCCGTCCATCTAGACGGAGAACGTAAGCTTGTGATTGGTCAAAATGCCACTGTCGTCAACAGTGCCGCCATTGCGCCCTCAAAAACATAGAGACCCAAGGATATCTAGCGGCAGACATGGAGAAGCTTGAAGAATACCTCTAGGAAAAAATATGAACGATTTTGTCCCCCGTGACTGGAGGAGAGAAAAGATACGCAGCATACGTTTTATTCGTGGACGGAAATGACGGGAAATGTGGGTTTAGAGGTGGCGATCGCATGAAGAGGTGGAGGAGGATGAGTGACAAATTTGTCCGTGTTAAAAAGTCGCTTATATACAAAAAACACAATATAAACACACTATCTTGGACCGGATACATGACAGGATTCCACAGAACAGCGCTACGCCCTCTGTTATCCTGGCGGGGAATTGCTTTGCAACATTCCCCAGGAGACGGAGAAATATGAGGGCAAATTGTCTCCGTCCGTCCGTGCATCTCTCCCTCGCAGAGCTGACGGAGATGTATAAATATGGCTTTGGTGATCCACCTTGTGTCTGCTTCTCCACCCAGCTGTTGATCTCATTTCTGGTTTCCTCATATTTAGTTCTGAAGTCCACAGACTCCAGCTCAGATTTGTAGTTTGCCCTGGTTTGTGTTAAAAACTCCTGAAAACACAGAGCACATTTTTTTAGATTATCATAAAAATGTTAGCTACCAGACTGTCAGAAAAAAATCTTTAAACCAATTACCTTTTCTAATAAAAACAAATCATTTGCTCAGGCCATCACCCACTGACCTGAAGGAACTGGTAGGACTGGTCTCCAAACAGCCTGTTAGCCACGCTGAGGGCAAAAGGAGCACCTGGCTTGTTGAGCTCTCCCAGCAGTTTGTCAAACTGAGAGTGGACATCATCCCGGCAGTCCTGAGTTTTTAAACACTGCGGACAAAGTAGTAGTGTCACACAGAGGCACAGTGAGGAGGATCAAACTGAAACACACTGCTGGGTACCTCTGATATCTGTGTGGCCGTGTCTCCTCTGGCTCCCAGCATCACCATAGCCAGAGCTGAAGAGATGCTGAAAGGAGAGAAGAAGATGTTTGCAGTTGAGTTGTCTTCACTCAGCTTTCTGAGCAGCTCCAGAGAGAAGCTGGTGTTGGCCTTGGATAGAGGGGTGGATGAGGCCATTGTGTCTGATGGAGACAGAACAGAGCAGAAATCACAAGGTAGCCTCAGTCAGTGTTTGGTTAAAATGCAGTGTCATCCCATTTTCTATGTTATTATTTAAAAATATGGATTATGGCCAACAGGGTCATTGGTGCCTGTCGTGGTGGCAACCCACAAACCTGTGTTGGACACCGGCGGTTAGAGATGCTGTCAGGCTGAAGAAAGAGTCCTATCAGGTCTTTTCAGCCTGTGGGACTCCAGAGGCAGCTGACAGGTATCGGTAGTCCAAGCAGAATGCGGCTTGGGTGGTCACTGAGGCAAAACCCCAGACATGGGAGGAGTTTGGCAAGACCATGGAGCAAGACTTCCATACAACTGGTGGTTAAAAAGCTCCTCTGTAGCAAGACTCCAGGGGTGGATGAGACCCGCCCAGAGTTTCTTAAGGCTCTGGATGTTACGGGGCTGTGTTGGCTGATGCGGCTTTGCAATATCGCATGTACATCGGGGGCAGTCGCACTGGACTTGCAGACCGGGGTGGTGGTTCCCTTATTTAAAAAGGGGGACTGCAGGGGTGTGTTCCAACTACAGGGGGATCACACTCCTAAGCCTCCTTGGTAAGGTCTTTTCAGGGGTTCTGGAGAGGAAGATTCGTTGGATTGTCGAACCTCAGATTCTGGAGGAGCGATGTGGTTTTTGTTCTGGCCATGGAACACTGGACCAACTCTATACCCTTAGGGGGATCCTGGAGGGTGCGCAGGAATTTGCCCAACCAATCTACATGTGTTTAGTGAAATTGGAGAAGGCGTATGACCTCCCTTAGGGGGCCCTGGGGGGATGCTCCGGGACTATGGGGTACCAGGCCCTCTGATACAGGTTGTTAGGTTCCTGTATAACCGGTGTCAGAGCTTGGTTCGCATTGCTGGCAGTAAGTCGGGCTCGTTCCCAGTGAGAGTTGGACTCCACCAAGGCTGCCCCTTGTCACCGATTCTGTTCATAACCTTTATTGACAGGATTTCTAGGTGCAGCCAAGGTGTTGAGGGCATCCATTTTGATGGCCTGAGGATCGGGTCTCTGCTTTTTGCAGATGATGTGGTCCTGTTGGCTTCATCAGAATGTGATCTTCAGCTTTCGCTGGAGCGGTTCGCAGCCAAGTGTGAAGCAGCTGGGATGAGAATCAGCTCCTCTAAATCTGAGACCATGGTCTGGATTTGGAAAAGGGTAGAATGCCTTCTCTGGGTCAGGGACGAAGTCCTGCCTCAAGTGGAGGAGTTTAAGTATCTCGGGGTCTTGTTCCCGGGTACCTGGAGCACAAGCTCAATTGGCGGATTGGTGCTGCATCTGCAGTGATTCGGGCATTGTACCGGTTTGTCGTGGTCAAGAGTGAGCTTAGTCAGAAGACGAAGCTCTTGATTTACCGGTCGATGTACATTCCTACCCTCACCTATGGTCATGAGCTTTGGGTGGTGACCGAAAGAACGAGACTGCGGATACATGCGGCCGAAATGAGTTTTCTCCGCAGGGTGGCTGGGCTCTCCCTTAGAGATAGGGTGAGAAGCTCAGACATCCGGGAGGGGCTCGGAGTAGATTTTCTGCTCCTCTGCATCGAGAGGAGCCAGGTGAGGTGGCTCAGGCATCTGGTTAGGATGCTTCCTGGATGCCTCCCTGGGGAGGTTTTCCGAGAACATCCAGCCAGGAGGAGGCCTAAAGGAAGACCTAGGACATATTGGAGGGACTATATCTGTCACCTGGCCAGGGAACGCCTTGGGATTCCCCAGAAGAGTTGGCCCAATTGGCTGGGGAGAGGGAAGTCTGGGCCTCTCGATTTAGGCTGCTGACCCTGCGACTCGACTCTGGATAAGCGGAAGAAAATGGATGAATGGATGGATGGATGGATGGATGGATAGATGGATGGATGGATGGATGGATGGATGGATGGATGGATGGATGGATAGATGGATGGCCAACTGTTTATTCATTTTTGGTAGGATGGCCAACTGTTTATTCATTTTTGGTAAACTGCTGCATAAAACCAAAAAGAACTATTTAAATTCTGGAATAAAACATTCAAATGAATGACGATTCTTTGAAACAGCTTTATGATCAGTAGACCTGTCCATTATCAGACCTATTTGCATCAGGAGCTACAGCCTCTCACTGTAACAAATGAAGAAAAAGAGCATTTAGCTTTTTTCCTAACGTTTATGTTGCCTAATCTAGATGCATCACATCTGGTATTATATCTTCTATGATGTTGCATGCTTTCAAATAAAAAAAAACACGCAAACCAATAATCTTTAGACAGAAGTCAAAGTAGCTGATGGGAAAACACTCATGTTAACTTCCATCTGAATTCAAAGAAAGCTTAATAAAGTTGCCTAAATTAGATCAACACCTTGGTCAGCATAGTTCACTCAGACTGAATGGCTTTGTTGACTTTACAAATTATTTTAACGTTTTATTAAAACCACATCAGGAGTTTTTTCCTCTATAATTTTCAATGTATTTACAGGGCTCAGATAGGCAAAACTGGAAACAGGAAGTTCTGATTTAATTCCACTGTGGCCCGAAATCATTCCAAAACAAATTCAGGAATAAATCTAAAGATTTTATTTAAACATACATTTTAAATATACACAAAGACTGACATGAGTTAAGAGTTTAACCACCAGCTGATGATTTTTAAATGTCTTAATGTGGAATAAAACAACGAAAACTAACTTGAACATTGAAACTTTTGCTTAAATAGAAACATTTCACAAATCAGGAACCTGCTTATAAAAGATTCTGCTTGATCTCGAATTTTGAACAATAGTTGCGATTTTTCATCAGATGGTTGAGATGGGAAAACTTGGTGAAATCGTCCTTTAATGAAATACCGTCTCAACCTCGAGCGCGTGTGTGTGCGCGCGCACGCGTGTGTTCGGACCGGTTCGGACGGCATAAGAGATCGTCTTACCTCCAGCAGGCTCTGATCGGCTAATTTTCACTTAAACGCAGGGACACGTCTGCTGCGAGTGTTTTTCTTTGGAGGTCGTCCCATTTAGCACACACCCAAAACGATTACGTCATCGTCCACTCTACGTGTATGAACGGGAATATGTTCGACCCACAGTTTCCAATGAAATGCGAAATAGACTAAACACTATAGACCTAAATTACATAGACTTTTCACTCCATCCGTTTGTTCATCAACACGTGTAGGAGTCCATCATATTAGGAAGGGAAACACCAGCCAGCCATTAAAATGAAGCTTCAGTTCAGCATGAACGTGATTTATTTACAGTTTAAAGGCAAAGTTTTTCTATTAAAAGGATGACTGGTTTAAACTTTTTAGAGTTACAAAGAAATTATGTTAAAATGATTTTTTTGTCAGGGTCTTTATAGGTCCATGTTCTGGATTATTTCAATGCGTTGCCTTTATTTATCAGCAAAGCAAACACATCCTTTGCTCGGTCCTCTCCACTCGCTTGATCAGAAGAAGCAGGGAGTCCATAGCAGCTGCTTCAGCAGCATTCCCTCTTTCTGTTATGGGCAGCAAGTGTTGACGTCAAGCTTCCCACAGCGAGCAAAACGCAACATGTCAACAAGAAAAACTAGAATTAGTGTGCCAATTGTTTACAAACCTATTTCCACAAAACTCTCTCACGTTTAGACCCACAGACAATTGTGATCAGCAGCAGCTGGGATGTTTGTGACCGTGCAGTTTTTTCCCCCCAACATGCCCACTTTCAAATGAAGCATGTGCCTCTTATTTTGACAACTTCTCTCCTGTGCTTGCTCACTATACTTTTCTTTTGGTGCCATCTAACCAGGTCTGTATGGGTATCTGCTGTCGGCGCTTTTAACCACTGGCTGGTCAGATGTTGCTGCTATCAGTCGGAAACGAGCATGGTGTTGGATAACTCGTCTCTTTTTTTCCTCTCCTGCATAGACTCAAGGTGCTGTACAAGCAGCGCACCTCACAACACTCATGCACCTTGTGCGCAACATCTGGTTCCTCGTGGAGCACGAGTCTGGTGTTGGTACAGGATCTGCACGGGTGCAGGATCGGCTCGGGGTCCTTCGACTGCCGATGACATCAAAGTAGTTGATTGGCTGAACATGAAGCTTACGGAAGTTACGTTGTCACGTTATGATTTTGATTGGTCAGAACAAATTTGCGGTTGTAGTAGCGGTTGTAGTCCTGTAGTCCAATAATCAACACTTTTTGGAGAAAATATGTTTGAATTTCTAAAGGAAATGTAAAATATAAGCAAATGATAAACGGTGACCCTCAAAAGCTCTTGATGTTGATGAAATGGGGCAAAATAAAATATAAGAATTTTATTGGCTTGAACATTGAAACTTTTGTTTAAATAGAAACGTTTCACAAATCAGGAACCTGTATAAAAGATTCTGCTTGATGTCGAGCTTGGTGCCATTGTCGCAGAGGACCTCAAACGGCTTTCCCCTTCTGGCGATGAACCGGCACAAGGACGGCAAAAACGCGTCCGTACCCAAGCAATATTTTTTTATATTTATTTTTTATTGTACAAATTCACAAATACAGCGCATATCTTACAACTCAACAAGATATGAATAAGTACAGGTGGTTAAAAATCTCTTATATACACAAAAAACACAATATAAACACACGCTCTTGGACCGATACATGACAGGATACCACAGAACAGCGCTACGCCCTCTGTGGTCCTGCCGGGCAATTGCTTTGCAACACTCTCCAGGAGACGGAGAAGTAAAAGAGCAAAACACTTCCGTCAATCCGTGCGTGTCTGTCCCTTGCAGAGCTGACGGAGAAGCATAAACCAGGCTTAAGGGGAGACAGACTGGTTGAGACAGTCAATATGGACAGGAGGTTCCGATCAGACAACCAGGCGGACTAGAAGTATCTTCAGTGGATTTATTGGCATTGACATTAAACAGCAGACTCTTGTGGCTGGAGTTGAATACATGTATGAATATGTGTGGTTTCTAGGAAGAAACAAAGTGACTTCCGTAAGTTAAATAATCCAACAAAGACATAGCCAACACCCACTGCTAACTAAACAAATTATCATCCGGTACTCGTGTAACTGAAGGTACGTTACCAACTTAGCATGAAACTCACAAGGCTAGCTGTAGCATTTGCAACTAACGGCAGTCATTTAAACACTAAACATGCTAACGAATAACAACTGCGACTGACGGAATACCAAACATGAAATAAACTAGCGAACATAAATATAACATCAATATTCACCTTTAGTACTCACTTTAATATCCGTCACTCACAACAAACACAACGTTAAACCGGAAGTATGTCCGTCCTAAATTAAAGGCACAGTCTGGAAGCACTGAACAAACATTAGTTCCCCTCTGCAGAATATTAGTTCCATTTCGGTCTTTCGGACACAGCCGGCCCCAATTGTCTTTAAGAGAAATGTTCACCCCTAGAAAGACTATCAGAGGCACCATCACTTTCTTCCGAGAGTTGAGGAAGTGGGATCAGTCTGACGACAGGGGGAGTGTAGTGTTTCCCCTTTACCTGCACTACAGGTGAACGGATCCTACCATCTGTGGAAGGGAAGACCTGCCACAACCGCCAGTAAAGTTGGCGCCATTGTCGCAGAGATCCTCAAACGGCTTTCCCCTTCTGGCGATGAACCGGCACAAGGACAGCAAAAACACATCTGTATCCAAGCCCTCAAGGAGATCTAAGTGCAGACATCTCGTGGTCATACACTTGAATAAAATCCCCCACCTTTTCTCATGTCGACGCCCTATCTTCACGAGGAAGGGACCAAAGCATTCGACTCCGACTGAATAGAAAGGGGGTTTAAAGAGCCGTAGCCTTGCAGGTGGGAGGTCAGCCATTCTAGGTTTCTGAGGCTTGGCACACCAAAGTCGGCATTCGGGACAGTTATATTGGTACTTGTAAATTGCTTTGTGTCCTCTTAGCACCCAGTAATGACGTCTCAGCTTGGCTAGGACTCGTTCTGCACCTGGATGGTGGAGCCTCTCATCATCGTCTTTGATGAGCAACTTGGTCACTGGATGTCCAGGGTCCAGGACAATAGGGTGTATGGTGGCAGTCTCGAGACTTGCTGCACGGCGGAGCCGACCACCGACTCGGATGAGAGTGGTCAGTATCCTCTTCAAACTCTGGTGCAAGAGGACTGAGTCTACTATTAGTAGGGACTAGCTGCTGAGCCTTGAGAGCCTTTATTTCAGCAGGGAAAGAGTTAGCTTGGGCCTGGATCAGAAGGGCTTTTCTGCCGCAATGTAATCTGCTGCTTCAATCTGATCGTTGGGGGCAGCTGCCCTGTGATGAGATTGATCAGTGGCTAGGACCAGCTCGGACCAGGTTTGGGACTGGCCAGCCTCAGGTACCTGAGGGCTTGAAGTAACGAGTCCAGCAAAGGTACTCCTCTTCAACTCAGTTTGATCATCATCGACCGTGGTACTTGGTATGACCGGACAATGATCTTGATTCTGGGACAGAAAGTCAGGACCAAATCTCCATTGGTTATGACGTATTAACTCTGATAAGGTTAGGCCCCTGGTGATGTGATCTGCGGGGTTCCTTGAAGACTCCACATATCTCCAGCTGGAAGCGTCGGTGAGGGTCTGAATTTCTGCGACACGTGTCCCCACGAACACCTTGTAGCGACAGGACTCAGAATAAAGCCAGTGAAGGACAGTGGTGGAATCTGACCAGCACACAACTTCCTGAATGGGAATGGTAAGTTCAGTCTTTATTAATTTGACCAGCTGGGCTCCTGTTAGAGCGGCACTTAGTTCCAGTCTTGGTATGGAGAGACACTTCTTGGGGGCTACCTTGGAGCGAGCGAGAATGAAGGCGATGTGGATGTTACCTTCACCATCTGTGGTGCGCAGGTAGGCAACTGATCCATAGGCCCTCTCAGAGGCATTGCAGAACACGTGCAACTGCCTGGTGGCTGTGTCATCCACGTGTGGTGGCGTGTAAGTCCTGGGGAACTGCACCTGATGGAGCTGGGGAAGCTCATCTGCCCAGGCGAACCACTTCTCCTTCAACGGCCTGTGTTCTATGAGTTTGTCCCAACTCAGCTTGTGCTTCCACAAATCCTGTATTAGGACCTTAGCTCTGGTGGTAAAGGGGGTGATAAAGCCTAGTGGATCATACTGCCTTGCAAGAGTCTTGTACAAGTTTCTCAGCATGGGCTGGAGTGACTCTGCAGGACGGTGCTTGTAGTCCAGAGTGTCATCAAGACAGTACCACTGTAAGCCGAGAGTGGGCTCATCGAGCTTGGTGCTATCTCGGGACAACCATAACTCACTACTAGCAGACCTGGCTTCAGAAGGTAGATGGTCAATGACTGAAGGAAAGTTGCTAGCCCACTGTTGGATGACAAAGCCTCCTTCTGCTAGAAGTTTCCGTAATCCGTCCACAACGACCTTGGCTTTGGCAGGGTCTGGTGTGCTGTAAAGGCAGTTATCCACGTAAAAGGCTTGGGTGACAATGTTGATCAGGTCGGCTGGGTCCGGCAGGCAGCTTTGAACGTGATGCTGCAGTGCGTAGATGGCACAGCATGGACTGCAAGTAGTTCCGAATGGTATTACCTGCCATTCATAGATGTGTGGCTTCTCCTCCCTCTGCATGTTCCTCCACAGGAAGCGCAGTAGGGGTTTGTCTGAGTCGAGTACCAGTACCTTGTGAAACATGCCTTTGATATCACCACTGATGGCCACGGCGTACTGACGAAATCTCAGAAGGACTCCCAACTAAGGATGAGTACCTTTGACATTTGAATCGATCCAGTACTAATTCCCGGTACCTACGAATCGATACCGGTACTTAACGGTACCAATTTTTGATACTTTTGAGTGTTTAATATATTTAATTCTCTTTTATAATTAAATATTTTTTTTCTCAATATATAACCATATTTGATGAATATCACGATAATTAACATACAACTGTTTGTATTTTAACATTGTCCTTGTAGTTTTATAAGTTGATAATTAAACTGAAGCAAACATCTTTACTGTGAACTAAATTTACTGTATATCTTCATTCCTTTTACCGTCCTTTTTCAATTGATTTTTCCTACTGGGAAGTTAGAATTTCTGAGAAGAAAGCGAACG